CTCTCTATCTTTATTGCTGCCGAGGACGCCCATTGGAAGCCTGGAAACAAGATTTTCTGAAGTCTGGGGACCTCCTCTAGAATTTTTTTCAGAAAATTTGACTCCCTGAAAAGCGATTTCCTGACATTTCCTGGCTAATTTAACGTTTATTTGTATATGGACTGTGGGGCCCCCCCAAGAAAATTAGAAGAGAATTAGACGCCCGTATTTCCTGAAATTTCCCAGCGAATTTAAGGTTCAATATTATCTGTATAGCCTATGACACTGAGAAAATTTGAATTAATTTCCTGGTCCAGGTGAATTGTATGTTTGTGTTGTATTGTATGAATTAATGGCTATTTTTTTGGGGAGGGGGGGGGGGGGGGGATATATATTGTCAGAAACTAGTATACCAAGTTTTGTCGAAAACGAGTCAAGAATTGTGTCTTGTAGGGTGTTTACGAGCAATTATGGAAAGACGGACGGAAATAGGTGACGGAAATATACACCCCTCATGTCATGTGGCATACGGTGGCATACGCCGATGCTAAGATGTGACAGGGCAGCAAGTCAAAGGCAATAACTAGTACTTGACCGCAATGCTAACAGCAAGTTTCATCAAAATCCATTGAAAATTGTGCACACACAAAATTTCACGTGATATTCAAAAAGTCGAGTGTTTAATGGAAATGGCTCTTTGGTGGTGACATTTTTATTCCTATGTAGTCATTAGACGCACAAATTTAAAGCCATTTCACCGAGTCAAATATAACCATTAGGTAGGGTTACCCAGGTGTATGGCCTTAAACTAAGGACTGGTTACTCATTTAGTTGTTATACAAGTCAATAAATTCACAGATAAGACTTTACTGATGTCAAGTACTGAAAGATAAAATTAGGCTATATTAACATTTGGTTGATATGTAATGTTAAATATCAATCCAAATTAAGCAATTTACCATGATAATATCATTTATGGCTGCTTCTACATGCATCAACAATAAGGAACATAAATAAATAATAATAGTTGCTGAGTAGAATTTTACAATATATAAGAACCTAGGGATCAATCACAACTGAGTTGTCTTTGCAGTTGTATTCTTAATTTGAGGACAGCTGCATTTCAAATGATTCATGATTCCATATGTTTGATTGAAATGAAGCTTTTCATCCTCATATTCTGCTCTTGCTTTAGCTGTATCAACACAAAACACAGCATGCAATGTTTATTAGATGATCTTTTGACAACACAATCAATATATTTAAAGAAAACAAAAATTATTTTTCTTAAAGATTTTTTTGTTTAATATTACAAAACAAAGTTAATGAATAGAATAAGCAATGAATAGATAATATAAAATGATTATCATCAATGATAACATAAAGCATAAGAAGATGGTGGAAACTTTTCATTTCAAACTAAGATTTGACAGGAGCCTTTTGTCGCCTTTTGACATCCCAGTTGTACACTCTCGCCATGTTAACTTCCAATGTTGTTGTCTGGTCCCGTAAGAAACTAAGATCATCATCAACTTGTCCTAAAGTTTTCTTTGCCGTTCCCAAATTTTTTTCCAGTAGTTTCTGGGCGTCATCTAAATTATACTCCAACATAACATTAGCGCCTAACCATAAACAAACTTTGTCTGTCGGTGGTATCTTAGCCTTAGCATAAACTTGATCTGATAATAAGAATCTGGTTTCTAATGGATCTGCATTTGTTTTCCTCTCGAGAAGATGTTTGACGATATCCAACGATGTCTTGATGTCAGGAATTTGAGTTTTCAACCTCGACTTCTTGGTATTCAAATTATATTCCATAAATTTATACTTGTTGTGACGCTCGTCCAGTTTACGTAAAACAGACTCGGCATTTTCATTTTCTTGTTTCTGCATGAATTCGTCGACATTGTCTACGAAATCAGACTCAGGAATTCCAGAATGGTTGTTCATGTCTTCGCCTTGAGATTCCGTCGCCATGCTGGATTTTCATTCGAGACATTTAGTGTAATATCGTTCGAAGTGTACTTCGTACTGACTGGGACAAATCGTCCAGAAATCATACAATGTAATGTGCAATGATAGATGATAATGGTTAGCTGCCAGGTTTCAAAGACGAAGGGTGACTAGCAATAAAAATCTTTTGTAGGAACCTGTAGATAAGGTTAAAACTTAGACTATTAAACAGTAAACAAAGTGGCAAAATTAGTGCCATTCGCTCGATTTGTATGACACTCCAATATCGTCGAAAGAGACGATAAACTTTGAATGAGAACTTGAAATAAGGGTTATTACGTCCTTAATCGACTCTTCAGAACTTAGAGGTAAAAAACCTCGGTACAGGAAGCGCCATTTGAATTTTCATTACATGTGAGTTAACTATGTTATTGTAATTTATAAGAAGTAAGACTTAAAAAAAAGTTATGTTAGCTGTAGCATAAAATGATCATTTATATAAGTTCATGTACCAGTATCAGATTTTTGGTTATGTGTAGCCTATCTATCCTTTTCTTTTATTTTTTTTCTGGCCCCATGACCATGTTAATTGTTACTGCTAGCCCATGCATAGGCCTAGATCTACCTTTAGTCTGAGCAAATTAATTTTTTTTGAATTTTTACGATATTTTTCAAAAGAATTGGAATATCAGCCTCAAAATATTATTGATAAGTCTTAGAATGTCTTTACTTTGATAAGAATAGATCTATAAGATTTGGTATGTATACTTGAAAAGAAACTTGTTTCCCTCCTAAAATTTTCAGTCCAAAAAAGTCACAAATATTTGTTTAAAATTGTCTCTCTAAAAACAAATTTTGAAGACATGATGTCTGCTCATGCTTATATTTTTTATCAACACAAAGACATTCTATGACTATCAGTATTAGGGCTGCAACGATTCACCGTTGAATCGATGAACCGCGATTCGTTCCTTCTTATCGATGCATTGCGGAAGAAAGAAATAATCGCGATACGTCGGCTCGATAATTTACTCCCTTTAATGACTAATAGCACGGAATCCTCGTGTATTTTAGAAATTGTGTCATGTTCAAATGTTAAAAAATTGCTTTTCACGTATTAATTTGTCTTCAGCATTTTTAATTTTTGTTATAAATGATGAAAAGAGAACATAATAATATGCAAAGTGGATAAAGATAAACAAATGGGATCTGATATAAACTTTTTCCAACGTAATATGTGTTTGCATAGTCATAAAATAATTCCACGAAGCTGTATTCGATACAGCGCTCTTGGAAATTAGATTCTTTAGCTCAATACGTTTTTATAAAACCAAAATATATATGATCCATTCTCAAATACGCAAATTATGACCTCGTTACTTAACAACAAAGCACAGAAGGACATTTCTTTGCTTTTTTGGTTCGAAAATCTTTTTTTTTAAGTCTCTGGTTCTCAAGATCGTGGTTTTCGAATGCCCTGGAAATAGCTGAATATCGTCGAATACCATATTGTCGAAACATTTGAACACTGAAATACATTATGAATTATTAGCTCGGAATCATCTCTACCGACAACGTCATTAATTAAAGTTAGACTAAAATTGAACAGGCTGAGGCTAAGTATAAATCTGAAGTTTGGAAGTCATATGGTTTTCCCGTTTATTACGACGACAAGGGAGTGAGACAGGTAGAAAGAGACAAAACGATTTGTAAAAAGTGTTTCCAAGGTCTGAAATATTCTGGTAATACTACCAATATGAATTCACACATGACAAGAAGACATCCTTAAGATATTTGCCAATGGTTTGGTATTTTATTTATTTTTTTAAAGGAATTTGTTAGTCCTTGTGTGTAACAAATGAAGAAAAGTGAATTTTGTACTTCTAAGCATGCAAAAATAATTTAAACTATGTTAAAATGTTATTAATTATCAGTTTTCTTTTTCTTTCCCTTTTAATCAAAGAATCGCGATTTATTATCGCAATACATCGTATCGTTGAACGAGTATCGTTCAGTGTATCGGATCGCCACTTTAGGAATCGTTGCAGCCCTAATCAGTATCAGTAGCCTACTATTTTGAGGCTGCTATTCCAATTATTAAAAATAATGGGAGAAATTCAAAAATGTTTTTATTTGCTCAGACAATACCTCTGTATCTTCCTTTTTATACGCCCACACATAAGATGGGCGTATATTGTAATCACCCCGTTGGTCCGTCCGTCTGTCCGTTCACATTTGGCTCGTGCTCACTCTACAGGCTACAGTTCTTTATGGATTCTTTTGATTTTTATTTTGTATGTCAATGTTGTTATGAAGATGATCCCTATTGATTTTCGTGATGATTGGATAATTTTTCACCGAAATATCATGTCTGACTTGACGTTTTTCTCTATTAGCTATATTATGCAACTCGTGCTCACTCTACAGGCAACAATTTTTTACAGATTCTTTTGATTTTTATTTTGTGTGTCAATGTCATTATGAAGATGATCCCTATTGATTTTCGTGATGATTGGATAATTTTTCACTGAAATATCGTGTCTGACTTGACGTTTTTCTCTATTAGCTATATTGTGCAACTCGTGCTCACTCTACAGGCTACAATATTTTACAGATTCTTTTGATTTTTATTTTGTGTGTCAATGTCATTATGAAGATGATCCCTATTGATTTTCGTGATGATCGGATAATTTTTCACTAAATATCGTGTCTGACTAGATGTTTTACTCTATTAGCTATATTGTGCAACTCGTGCTCGCTCTACAGGCTACAATTCTTTACAGATTCTTTTGATTTTTATTTTGTGTGTCTATGTCGTTATGAAAATGATTACTGTATGATTTTCATGATGATCGGATAATTTTTCACCGAAATATCGTGTCTGACCTGACGCTTTACTCTATTAGCTATATTGTGCAACTCGTGCTCACTCTACAGGCTACAATTGTTTACAGATTCTTTTGATTTTTATTTTGTATGTCAATGTCATTATGAAGATGATCCTTATCGATTTTCGCGATGATCGGATAATATTTCACCGAAATATCGTGTCTGACTTGACGTTTCACTCTATTAGCTATATTGTGCAACCCTGTAGTCACTAAAGACTGTTTAATCATTTCTGACAGCTGCCAGTGGGCGTATGTTACCTTGCCTGGCAAGCTATCTTTGAATACATTTTAGCTCATAAGAAATCTGAATTGGTAGTTCAACTGATTATACCAATATTAACACAACAACACCATGGAGGTTAATGATACAAACATGCAAGCTTTAGCTAGTTATCTTCAACAAACACTTTCTCCTGATAGAGATACTAGAAAACAGGGTAAAAAGTTCAAATTTTTTTTAGTTTGTATGTAGTTAAAACCTAATGAAAATCTTTAATGAAAATCAGTCCATAATATGTGTTTTTTCAAAGTTTATCCTTTGCTAAATCATTTGACAAAATCTTTCCCCGCATATCCAGCTTGATTGACTGAACAAATAACTTACAAAATTGTACCAAATTTTTAAAGTCATATCACATATGCTGCAACCATGGTATATGATGATTATAGTCTCAACTAAATCATTTGAAAATTAAAGCTTAGAAAAGGGTGAGAAGCAGTGGCAGTGTCTGAGAATTGGGGTACAAACAGGAGACAGACTGACTCAATGGGGGCACAAAGTTGAAGCTGAATTAAAATCCGACAACTCTGTCTAGGCATCGTAGTTGCCAGTCTCTCATGGGCCATCTGAAAGGGTTCCCCAAAGAGATTTTTCGAAATATTGAATTGATTCGGTGCATTCTGATACATAATTTGGGGCAAAAACATATAAAAATAATATCTTTAAATTTCTGAAAATATTAAGTTGGGGTAAAATTGGGGTGCAATCCATTTTTCTAGGGGCGCTAATGCCCACTTGTCAGTAGGCTCAGTTAGCTTAGAGTCTTTCAACTAAAAGGACTTTTATATTTTATTCATTATTTTTCACTTCAGCTGAGAAGTTTTTGGAATCAGTAGAGACCAATCAGAACTATTCTCTATTATTGTTACATTTGATGGATAAAGGTGAAGTTGACATACACATTAGAGTTAGTGCTGCCATAACTTTTAAAAACTTCATTAAACGTAACTGGAGAGTGGTATGTATAGTATTGTATAAGGGAAATGTACACATCTTATTAAGGATTTAGGTTGTTTTTGCGACTATGTTCTTATTTATAAGAGATTGAATAGAACAGAGTTTCGATTAAAGAACTTTTGACTTTACTTTCGATTTTATATACGCCCACACGTAAGATGGGCGTATATTGTAATCACCCCGTCGGTCCGTCCGTTCACATTTGGCTCGTGCTCACTCTACAGGCTACAGTTCTTTATGGATTCTTTTGATTTTTATTTTGTATGTCAATGTTGTTATGAAGATGATCCCTATCGATTTTCATGATGATCGGATAATTTTTCACCGAAATATCGTGTCTGACTTGACGTTTTACTCTATTAGCTATATTGTGCAACTCGTGCTCACTCTACAGGCTACAATTGTTTACAGATTCTTTTGATTTTTATTTTGTATGTCAATGTCATTATGAAGATGATCCCTATTGATTTTCGTGATGATCGGATAATATTTCACCGAAATATCGTGTCTGACTTGACGTTTCACTCTATTAGCTATATTGTGCAACCCTGTAGTCACTAAGGACTGTTTTATCATTTCTGACAGCTGTCAGTGGGCGTATGTTACCTTGCCTGGCAAGCTATCTTCTTTAGAGGAAAGCACAAAAAAACATAAGCTCATATCATATTTACTGTATGATACGTAAAACAGCACATGCATTTAGTGCTGGGAATCGAGTTTTAAATTATCATCGATTATCAGCAATATATCGTTAGGCATTTCCGGTCGATAATCGATAAAAATTGTAATGTTCATACTCAAATTTTAGGTCAAGTGGTCGACTCATTTCAAGTCCTATTTAGGCTGCCTACCACTTACTTGTATGAAATGTGTTAGATGCTAGTATGTGTATTGTGCTTATTATCATGTAACCAATCTTTTTGTTTTAAAGACGTTTGGAAGATTAGTTTTCGTCAATATCGCCATCGGCATGAATGTACCTTGAATGGTTAAAATAATTGACTTCATCACACGTTCTTGACAACCAAGACTAAAATACTATAGCACCGTTGTTATACGAATTGTGATTAGCGTTTAGTAATTAGACTTGATAAAAAAAGGGAGACAACTACAATCGTGTGGAAAATAAAGGGAAAGTCATGCCCGAATATCGGTACCTGTATTCAGTTAATTATATATACGTATAATAACAAATGTTTGTACTAATTTACTGTGAATGAAATTTTTCTTATTAATGATTGTTATGATCATATACAATCAAAGAAATGGAAGAACATACGAGAATAAAGACTTTAGCTTAGTTTATTTTGCGGTACGTAACTGCCGAAAGCGTGTTTTTATTATGGTCCCGGGAGTAATTTAACAGAATTACCGGAGGTTATGTTATTTTTTGTGATAATTGATTTTGAAATAAACCATCTTGCACAAAGTCATCTGTTGTATCCTATATAAATTTGTAAAATTTAGGCTGATGTCATTTAAAATCTTTAAATGTGGGTATAGGAATTATTTTGTTTTTATGGTAACACACCCATTCGTTTCCAGAATCAACCAGGAGAGGTTCAAATGTCCATTTCATGTTTATTATATTAGGTAGAAGAAGCTGGAGATAAAATTCCTGAAGTTGACAGAAATGCCATTAAACAACATATCGTAGGCTTGATGTTGAAAAGTGTAGAACAAATACAGTTACAAGTATGTTCTTTCAGTTTTAGCCATAGTTTTAGTCTTTTATTGAAGCAGTGTTATTGTTTTCATTACATTTTCTCAAGATGTTTCACTGGGAGTGTAACAATAGAGACTGATTTGGACAGAATTGGTGAAAAATTTGTAATTTTCTCAACAGTTTGATGATTTGATAATTTGATATTTTTAGTTTTCACCAACTGCAAGTAGGCATATTTGGACAGGATGCACTATCTTTACCTTCAAGATGTAGTATAAATTTTGAGTGAATTTGTTACCTTTTATTTCTAGCTAAGTGATGCTATCAGTATTATAGGCCGAGAAGATTTCCCAGATAAATGGCCAGATCTTATCACTGAAATGGTCAGTAAATTTCTAACAGGTGATTTCCATGTAATTAATGGTGTTTTAAGAACAGCACATTCACTCTTTAAAAGGTAACTACTTTCAACCACATTATTTATTACACCAAGTTCAGTATACATCAAATGAATCGCTGTACTACTAGTGGTATTGGTGATCCCATCAAAAAGTCTTCTGTGATTGGTTATTGCTGCCTGTTTTTTCTTTTTGGAATCACCACATGAAATGGGGGGCGTATATTGTCACCCCTGTCCGCCAGTCGGTCTGTCCACAATTGCTCGTAAACACTATAGAGGTCACAATTCTTGACTGATTTAGATGAAACTTGGTGTGAGAGTTACTAATCACTCAAGGATGAACCCTATTGAAAATCAGAAAAATCGAAAAATAATTAGTATGAGTTATTGCTCTTGTTCTTGAAAATGCGGTTACACTTTAGAAGGCACAATTCTTGATGGATTTTGATGAAACTTGGTGTGAGTTATTAATCACTCAAGGATGAACCCTATTGAAAATCAGAAAAATCGAAAAATAATTAGTATGAATTATTGCTGTTCTTGAAAATGCGGTTACACTTTAGAAGGCACAATTCTTGATGGATTTTGATGAAACTTGGTGTGAGTGTTTGTTATCAACCAAGGATTAAATAAAGCTCTCAGTGGGCGTATATTACCATGCCTGACAAGCTATCTTTAGTATTCCCTGTAAACTGAAATTAGTAGTGGTTTGTTCCTGCTGATTTGAACCTCTTTGAGATGTAGGTTGTGTTTCAGTTATGTGGGTTGTTAAAGCTGAATTTGAATAGCTATTCCACGTTAGCTTCCAGAGGCCTAGCCCTCTGTATGATTGCATATTTTAAAAATGGAAAAAAATTATCTTGAGCTTTCTTGTCAATAACTATGGAACAAAGTAATTTTGAATGAAATTCCTAGCTAATACTTATACATTTTTTTTTAATGATTTTTCAGATATCGACATGAATTTAAATCACAAGAACTGTGGACTGAAATTAAGTTTGTTTTGAATAATTTTGCTACACCATTTACTGAACTATTTGTGGTGAGTTACTGACAGAATAGAAAATATAAAACAGTCTTCAACATCTAGCCTTTGAATTCTTAATCATTGTATTGTGAAAAGTGAAACTGCAATAGCTCCTTGAGAAAGTTACTTGTTTGACCAACCGCATGGTCTTTAAGTCTCTTCTCTTTGATTGGCTCGGTCGAGATAATGTCAGTGATGCAGCTAGTCGTTCTAAATCGAAAAACAGCATGCTAATGCCGTTGTCATGGCAAAATTTCCCTCATTTCACCGTGCATAGAGTTAGCCGTCTTCATTAGCCCACATGGTGCAGAAAAGTAGGACGTAAAACTCCATTCATTTCATTTCTCTTTGATTGACACATTCCTGTGAATGAAAATTGCATATTAATATAAACTTGTTTCTTCTTGTTTTTAGGTAACAATGGGGTTAGCTGAAACTCATGCTAATGATCCAGTGGCATTGAAAGTGATATTTAGTTCTATTTTATTAATCTGTAAAATATTTTACAGTCTCAACTTTCAGGTAATACATAGTGTATAACTTCTTTGATCTTCTGTTCTGCTTCTGTAACCACATAAATGATTAAACACCGATGTCTGTCTTTGTCTGACAACACATGAAGGACTTTGACTGTTAACACATGATTATCTTTCCTTTTCTCTATTTTCTTCGGTGTATGAATGATACTACACATATTTATTTTGAAAATGTACTATTATTTTTATATACTTATAGGATTTACCTGAACATTTTGAAGATAACATGTCAACCTGGATGACACATTTCTTAACTTTACTGAGTAAAGACAATAAAATACTACAAACGACAGTAGGTCTATTTATAGTTCAAGTCAGTCTCCTTATTTCAAAACTTTCAATTGTTAAAGATGTTTTCTGGCCTTATTTGATTTTATTTGCATAGAACTTTATGTTTTTCCCTCAAAACAGTGCAACACTATTTTGCTCTTTAATTACCAGACCATTTATATTTTTGAATGAATGCTTAGATGTAAAGAAATATGCAACCCTTTGTGCAAAAACAAAATTTTCTCGTAATTAAAAAAAAGGCCTTGATCAAATTTCAAAAATTGTCAGAAGAGTCAGAAGTAACAGAAAAGAATGAAGTAAAACTCTGTTTTTTTGTTGTTGTTATTTTAGGATGAAGAAGAAGCAGGACTGTTAGAACAAGTCAAGTCACAGATCTGTGATAATGTGGCTTTGTTTGCTCAGAAATATGACGAGGAATTTTCAGCCCATTTACCAAGTTTTGTCACATCAACATGGAATCTTTTAACCAGTACTGGTCAGCAAGTTAAATATGATTTGGTATGTGCTCCCATTGGTAATTACATATATCTAATGCATTGTTTTGATATGACCAAGGGGACAAGATGATATTTGATATGGGTTATAGTTATCTTGGCACTAAGTCAAAATGGCTCCAAAAGTCATAATTAGTCAAAATAGTCCCAAAAACAATAGTCAAAATGGCCCCTAAAATTACTTTTTGATTTCTACCAAAATCCTTGGTCATAATGGTCCCCAAAAAAAGTCAAAAGCCTGGCAAGCTATTTTTTTTAAAAATTATCACATATTCAGACGATCATTTTATATTGAATTGACAATGACTAGTGTAACTATGAGTTTTCATACACCTTTAAAAATTGAAGTGTACCATATATATGGAAACTATGCCATCAATTTAAATAAAATATCTAAACACCATATAATTGATTTGATTCAGTATGATAAGCTTATATAATATTCTACCTAGATGAGACCTATTCAACTGAGATTGAAATGGGTGAAATTACCACTCTTGCAATTTGTTGGGGAAGTACATGGACCAGTTATTGATAATGTGACATATACTGAATTAAATAGTGCTTTAATTTTTGCTAGTATGTAATGTATGTATGTTTTTTCCATATTGAAATTATGTTATTTTTATACGCCCACATTATAATGTGGACGTATATTGTCGTCACCCATGTCCTTCCGTCGGTCCGTCTGTCTACAATTGGCGCGATAGAGACTACAGTTTTCATCTGATTCGAATGAAATTTGTTGTGATCAATAATATTGATGAGATCTTGGACAAGTTTGATATTTACGATTTTTCGATGAACGGTTTTTGAGTTATTGCCCTTGACTAAAATTGGCTTGTGAACACAATAGAGACTACAGTTTTCATCTGATTTCAATGAAATTTGGTGTGAATATTTATAATGATGAGATCTTGGAAAAGTTCGAATTTGACGATCTTTCGATGAACGGTTTTTGAGTTAACACTTGACTCATAAAAACGTGTCAAAATTTGTTTTTGTGAACACAATAGAGACTACAGTTTTTATCCAATTTCAATGAAATTTGGTGTGAATATTTATAATGATCAGATCTTGGACAAGTTCGAATTTGTCTATCTTTCGATGAACGGTTTTTAAGTTATTGCCCTTGATTTATGAAAAACTCGTCAAAATTTGTTTGTGAACACAATAGAGACTACAGTTTTCATCCAATTTTAATGAAATTTGGTATGATCATTTATATTGATGAGATCTTAGTCAAGATTAAATTTGACAATTTTTCGATCAACGGAATTTGAGTTATTGACCATGACTTAGTAAAAACGCATCAATATTTCTTAGCGATAGAGGTGACAGTTTATGTCAGAATTTTATTAAATAATGTGGTTTTGTTTAAATTAAAAATATCTTGCACAAATTAAATTTTTGGTATTATTTGACACAGATAGGTGACTGCCATTGATATACTGAAAATATATCAGGAAAGTGGGCGTATCTTGCTAGGCAACCACTTGTTAGTTAAAGTTGTTCAATGAAATCTATTATCATTAAGGGACCATTTTGACTTTTTCAAAGGGCCATTTTGATTTTGCGACTGTTAAAAAATCAACAGCGTATTCATTGTTGAAATCAGAATTATTTGGGTTTTTTTTTCACAGTTAGTTAGTAATGCTATACAGTTTTTAGCCTCAGTAGCTGAAAGACCAGCCTATAAACATTTGTTTGAAGACCCAGGAACATTAGCTAGTATCTGTGAAAAAGTTATAGTCCCAAATATACAACTAAGAGGTAAAATTTCCTGATAAAAATGTCATTTTGATATCCACTAGAATGAAACCTTAGAAATTATAGTACAGTACTGATATTTGAGCAAATCTGTCTGATGCAAAACGTACACAGAAATGATCTACTTAATTCTACTCAGATAGAATGGAAATCAACACAACAAAACTAGTCTGTATAGTTTCTATGACTATTCATTTTACTTTAAGAAAAAAAATAAATTGTTCGTATTTATGTTTTGATTAGACTCAGATGTGTGCAAATATTTTTGCTTGATCATACCACAAACTTGAACCTTGCTTTGCCATGGAGTTAAGCAGTGTCCATTTTGAACAGTAGATATAGCTTATAGAGTTAATTTGGTATTTTTATGTTTTCATTATCAAATTAATTGATATCAACAATATAATATTTGCTTTATATTAATTTAGTGGCAGATGAAGAACTATTTGAGGATAATGCTGAAGAATATATTAGAAGAGATATTGAAGGCTCAGGTAGGCATATCATATAGAAGCTCTTCGATTTTGAAATAAATTATCGTTATCGGTACATGGCATAAAAGTGATAATAATTATTTCCGGCACTAGTTACCATAATATAAGATTTAATACTAACTTACTTTTCAACCTAAATAGAATCACAGAAGTCTGTAAATGCAGGGATTTGGTTGGATTGTAAGTTATCGTAATAAGCAAATCAGAGGCCTCAGCAGAAAACTGTAAACAATAAGCCATAATGATTACAGCCTGTCTGTTTGGCTTTATTTGCTAAGTACAATCCAATCAAATCACTGTAACTGTAATGTGATACAAATAGGGTAGTTATTGCAGTCAAGGTATAAGACAAAGTTCAAAATAGCTTGACATTGTGAAGATGCAATCATACAAAACATCAATTTCCATCAATTCCATATCAATCTAATGATAACTTGATAAATTGATTTATCGACAAAGATAACAAGTAAATCATTGTATATGAGTCTATAGAAACAATCTTTAAATGTTTATCATTATATAGATGTGGATACAAGAAGAAGATCAGCATGTGATTTAGTACAGGCTTTAAGTAAATCATTTGAAGGTCCAGTGATTGAAAATTTCTCAAAATATGTCCAGGGTTTACTGGCTGTAAGTTCATAATTTAATTTTATGCATGTTACTGTAACTTGGAAGTGATGATATCAGTTTATTTTATTGAAGTTTAGATGAGGAATGGGACTCCCATGACAAATGAATATACAGTGTTTGGTAAAGTTAGTAATCTGAAAAGTAAATTTACATACACTACACATGTTGAATCAAAGTGATGCAAGTAGAAGGGGTTGACATGGAATGTGTGTTATTGACCTGATTGAACTTTCAATGGTGGACCTGCTTTCTTCTGTACATGTTAAAAATTCTTTTTCAGTAGGAAATTAAGAGATAGTAAAATATCATCTCATTTAAAACTGAAGTTACGTTGTTTTTTTTTTTTTTAAGGAGTACAGTGTCAATCCAGCTGGTAACTGGAGAAGTAAAGATTCTGCTATATATTTAGTTACATCATTAGCAGCTAAAGGACAAACTCAAAAGGTAAGAGAACCATTGGCTAGAAATGTGAAATAAAAGTGAAACCTATCTCATTATCTCTTTATTGGCCTATATGTGAATACTTGTCATATTTATGAAATAAATTTGAGCCCAGTTAAGTGTTTTGTATCCAGAGGTGTAAATCTGGATTTTTCAGGAATATTGTCATTGAATAAGTATCCATGGTATAGTGCAACCTGTCAATATTTGTAATACTAGTTAACTTTCAAATGTTTTTTTTTAACAGCAAGGTGTTACACAAACTAGTGGTCTAGTTAATATGACAGAATTTTTTGAAAACCAAATTTTACCAGATTTACAATCTGCTAATGGTAAGATAGAACTCTTCAGCTGAATGATATTTCCTTTATTGTTTGTTCATAAGGATACCTTAAAGAACCTACCTAAAACTCAAATTGCTCAATATATGTTCTTAAATTAGAATTTTTCCCCAAAATAATACATTATTCTTTTTAATATGAACCACACAGCAATTTCTGCAGTTTGTAAATACAGTTCTTAAACATTCTTTTCATCCCCTTTAGTTTTAGGAGAGGGTACTATAGGTGAAAGCCTGTTCACCAATGCTATTATGTTAATAAATATTGTATATACAAAAAAAAAAGTTTTGGATGTGCATAATTTAAATATTTGATATGATTTCTTGACAGTGAATGAGGTACCAATATTAAAGGCAGATGCATTGAAATATTTAATGGTCTTCAGAAATCAAGTAAGTTCTTTTTTGGTATTTGTTTGATCAGTTGAAAACTAGCCATATACAGCATGGTTGACAGTTTTTGATTTAACATATTTAGTATCTTTTTAAATTTTTTGAGTGATTGTCAAATAATGAAAGTGTTTGGTTTGACCAAAATCATTCTGCAATGGTTGTATCTGTGAACAATTTGATATTAATTTTTGTGTTATTTTAGCTACCCATGACAGCTCTGAATACAGGCTTACCATGTTTAGTAAATTTATTAACATCGGACTCTAATGTTGTTCATACGTACTCAGCTCATTGTTTAGAGAGGTTATTGATGGTCAAAAATGCAGCAGGAGGGGCAGCGTAAGTTGATTTTATTGAGATATTTACTGGAAATGGTTTGGTTTGGTTAATTTTTCTTAATCCATAGAAATGTCTTTTTATCTCTATAGCTACTATTTTAATTTTAAGCCTAAAATCTTGATAATGCCAATTCATGGTTCAAAGATAATTATTATATTTAAATATTATTCAGTTTAACAGTAGCAGACGTCCAGCCTCATGCTGGAAATTTAATGACTAATCTATTTTTAACCATGGAGAAGCCTGGTTCTACAGAAAATGAATATGTTATGAAAGGTTTGCTCACAATTTTTTTTGGTTTTGAATTACTTCCTATATGATTAAAAAATGCAGCTTTCAGAACCAATAATCATAGCAATAAGTTGGCACTGCCAAAGTGGTTTGGTATCTAGGTTACAATGTCTTGAAAAATGATTCTTTTCCTTTAATATTTTACCAGTAATTTGTACAATGATATTGACTTCGTAACAATTATATTTTGTAGCTGTTATGAGAACAATGTCATTACTACAAGAGAATATAGTTCCTATGGTACCTGATATTCTAAAAAGTTTAACAGGAAAATTACTATTAGTCAGTAAGGTTAGATATGTTTTTGGAGTATTGATTCTTTCTAGAGGCCAATATTGTTAAACCATTTCACAAGATAATAAATGGTTTGATTGGTATTATTTATAAACATACATTCTTTGTCATTGTCTTTAGAATCTAGTGTGGGACTGAGAGAACCCACTCATATGGAAATGTAATATTTAGAACTGTTCAAATTAGAATGTGGTTAGAATGACATAGTTTAGTGAAACAGTATAAAAAATACAAGAGGTTTTTTGGCATATTACAGCTCAAGTAGGACATTGCTGGTCAAGATGTGAAATGATATCCCTTATTAATATTTCAGAATCCAAGTAAACCTCATTTCAACCATTATTTATTTGAATGTTTATGTGTGGCAATAAGAACAACATGTAAAACACAACGTGAAATGGTGACAAGTTTTGAAGAAGTGTTATTTACACCTTTCACTGATATATTACAAGCTGATGTCCAAGGTAAAATGATCCGTTTCCCTGATGATTTCAGGAGCCTTTGTGGTTCAATGAGTCATTATGTGAACTGCAGATTTTTCAACTCATTTCCTTTTTCAGGTGTCAGAGATTTCTGCATGTAAAAAAAAATTAGTTGTTTATTTCAGAAAGTCTCCATTGTGCTACAGGTTGATAGAAATAAACTTTAAGAATTTAATAATGACACCATAAACTTCATGACAGAATCTTGTAGAGTGGTATCAGATGTTTTTGGTGTTGAACATGCTTTTATGCCAAATCTACAAATGTATTGGTTTTGTGGTCTTGAAAAACAATTTGGACACAATATGGCATGGAAGTTACTTCAGTGTAGGTTAAAATCACTTCACTAAAATAATTTTAAGCTATGTTTTCTCTCTTTACAGAATTCATCCCATATGTGTTTCAAATTCTGTCTTTATTAATTGAGTTACATACAGAAAGTGTTCCACCATCTTATATGGCACTGTTTCCACATTTATTGGCTCCAGTATTGTGGGAACGCCCTGGCAATATACCACCTTTAGTTAGATTACTACAGTCTTATATAGAGAGAGGTGCTAAACAAATAGAACCAGAAAAAATAGTAGGTTTTTATATCTGAACAAAATCTTTTTTTTTTATAAGTGTCTGTAGGTCGGTCCATCCACATTTGCTTGCAAACACTCTAGAAGGCACAATTTGACGAGACTAAGTGTGAGTTTTTGTAATCATCCAAGGATAAACCTTTTTGGAAATCAGAAAAATGGAATATTGAATTAGTAAATTTTGAGCTCAAATATTAGATCATTAACCCGTTATCTGCCAAATATTTTTTTAGAAAATTGACATTTTGTGGTACCTTTTTTCAAAAGCATGTGGTTCCAAAACTGTGGAATGTAGGCACCAAGTGTCCATAAATAAAATGTTCAGTGATGTATGTTACCATGGAAATATTCATTTTTGTGACATCATTGTGACGTCACCTTGGCAACAATAGGTTGAAAACCTAAAATTAGTAGATTTTTGTTAAAATAACGATTTTCATCATGTTAGAAGTTTATGAATATTTGTATATTACCATGGCACTGTTTATTTTTGAAAAACATGAGATCATATCATGGCAACAATTTAACTATTTTGTTCAATAAAGAAGATAATGGAGGGATAAAACATTTTATTAACAACAAAATTGGCAACTTTAGGCTTTCGACTTTCATCATTATTTATATTATCAATATCAACACTTTCAGAATCTGAGGGCCAGTCGTCCTCAGAGTCACTATCAGCGTAGATATCATTCAATTTTCCTGCCATTCTATGGCCGTTTTACACCAAAATACAACCATTTTCAATCGAAAGTTGATCGAAATACATGACAGCGAAATTGTTTACATTGACAATTTAGGCAACCTGCTGCGGTTGAATAACCATCATTATTTCGTATCTATCTATATAGGATGTCTATATGGTTATGACACCATGAAAACTCAATTTCGCGACGTCTTTTCACAAATATTACCTATTTTCAATCAAATTGTTTAGGATTTTTTATAGAAGAAACATGCATGTTTTTTTGTCTACAAATTATCACCGATATATAAACCTGATTATACATATATCAACACCGTCTATATAGCGATAGTTTCGTATTTATTTAAATTGGCGGTCGCACAGGTAGAATATCGCAATATTGCACCCGTGGCAGTTAGGGGGTTAACACTAAAGAAACAAAATTCTTGACAGATTTTGACAAATGTTGGTGTGAGCATTTGTAATCACCCAAGGATGAACTCCATTGAAATTAAATAAAAATATGGGTTATTGACTTCGTTCTCAATAACTCTTTTAATTTTTAGCTCATGAATACTGAAAGCCAAAACTTTGTAATGTTGTTCGGTATCACCCAAACAAGTGTATGACTAAAGGTTGAAAATTTCATACTGGTGATTGTTACTGTGCTGCCCAATAGTTTCATTCAAAATCAAAGCTGCCAGTGGGCATATAATATCTTGTCTGACAAGCTATCTTTTTGAATTAGTGATAGTGAAAATTTCACTAGTGCTTCAAATCTCACAAATTACTCATTTTTATAGATAGTTGAAAATCATCTTGTTCAACGTCTAAACAATGTCCATTCGTCATACTTCCTCAAAACCTTGATAATACAAGTGAGAAAAATGACTTATTCATAGTTAAATATTGTCCAATCGAATTTGGCCCTGCTGTCTTGCTAGTAAAACTTCAGCTAATCTGAATAAATCACTCTTTAATGACGCTATGATTGCATACAAAACGAAAGCAGCGTTTTGATTTGATTAATATGGACGGTACAGAATTAATTAAGATTTTTGATGAGGAATTGAACCAAGATTACAATATTACTTGGAAAGAAGTAATTTGAATAGCATCCCTTTCCCTTAAATAATCCCATTTCCACGCCCACATAACTAAGTGTAGTGTACTTAGTTTAAGACAAAACCTGTATTCATGATAAGATGGTTGACTATATGCTTATGGAATCACAAGATATATGGATACTATTTATACTATAGTAGAAATAAATATATTTATCCATATATCTAGTGATTCTATATCTATGCTTATTTCATATGTCTTACAAACAGTAAATGTATTAGCACTTAAATACATAATGCATAATTTATATTTACTGACATTTTGGAAGCTCACTTTTGACAACTAGAAAATACAACCAAGTCAACAGCCTTTATTTATCAAATTAGTTTTCAAGTTAATTTAGCTCATCATGAGATTTATGCTGTGATAGTTATAACTTAGTGTGAAATATATACAACTGGTGTTTTATTATAAAGCATGCCACATAGCTATATAAAATAATCTATATTTCAGAATGGATTGTTAGGTATATTCCAGAAGTTAATTGCCAGTAAAACTAATGATCATGAAGGATTCTATCTTCTCAATGCTATCATTGAATTTATGCCAGTGTAAGTCAATTTTATACTGAAATATATAATTTAATGGTAGTACTTTGTTGTTGAATTAAAAAAAACTTACTGTAATTCTGAGGTAGAATATTGGGTTGATGGAGAAATAAATTTTGAAAACATTCAGTTTTGTTATAGCTTGATCATTGATTGATTATTTTGATTTATTTGATTCTTTATTTCAGTGAAATTGTAAAGGATTATTTAAAACAAGTATTTATTTTGATATTCCAACGTTTACAAAGTTCTAAAACAACAAAGTATATAAAGAGTAAGTACTTTGGTTTATTGATCCTATTTTATTTTCACGTGTCTTAACTGAATGAATATAAAATATAGAAGATTCCACTGCAGTTCAAATTATATTTTGTAAATGCCATAGGTTGTGGATTTGGATGTTAGTTATCCTAATAGCCTATTGATTTATTGTAGGTGTGCTGATATTTTTCTCCCTGTATGCTATCAAGTTTGGAGCAACCAATTTAATAGAAATGATTGATACTATACAACCAAAGTAAGTTCTCACAAGAAAGTTATTTTTCTTTTTACTTAAACATTATATTGTGTACATTCTTCTTTATATATATTTGTGTTTTATGTTTACATAAAGTTTATTTTAGAATGTTTATGTAATTGTGTTTTTTTTTAATGTATACATTTTTGTGTTGTGTGATTTTTAGAATGTTTTCAATGGTGGTAGAAAGGCTATATATACAAGATCTACAGAAGATCTCTGGATCAGTTGAGAAGAAGATTTGTGCTGTTGGTGTAACTAAAATATTAACAGAAGCTCCTATTATGATAAATGGTGACTATGCCCCTCTGTGGTATGTTGTATTATTCTGATGAGGTGATCTGAATTTAAAAATTGTTAGTTTGTGCCCTCTGTTGGTTCAGCATACATGCACTTTGCCATACATTGACAGAAAGATAGGATTAGGCAGAATAATATTTCAGAAGAGGGTACACTTGGGAAAAGTTGCTGTCAAATTATTGTAGTTTTAGAACAACTTTGGATACTGTCGATAATGAACATGGATTTTGCATTACTTTCTTTTGCATTACCTTCTATATCTGATATTTTGTGTTTTCCAGGCCCCAGTTATTACAAGGGTTAATTGGTTTATTTGAACTACCAGAAGATGACACTGTACCAGAAGATGAACATTTTATAGAAGTTGATGACACTCCTGGTAAGTTAAAATTTACTAATTGACATCATTCATCATTATAACCATTTACAATCCTAAAACAATCTTTTGCTCTTGATTGTATCTTTGATTATTAATAAACCAAGGAGTTGTTCAAATCCAAGGTAAATGAGTGGGACTGGTACAGAATCAGTGATATGTTATGATACTTTCCATGATGAGTGCTTCTTAACTTATCCTTTTGTTATTCAAACAACATCTTAATATTGTCAATAAAAAAAAGTTTGAGGTTGAACACATTACTGGAGTTGAATTATGTGTAGAGTTACTTAACAAGTTAAACCAACATGATAGGGTACTGAAGTGACACCATTGACATATTTCAACAATTTGACAGTATCATATTATTGTATTTCTAGGTTATCAGACAGCCTACTCTCAACTTGCATTTGCTGGTAAAAAATCTCATGACCCAGTTGGAGATGTTCCTGATGTTAAAATATATCTAGCTAAACACCTTGAAAAACTAGCTGCAGAAAATCCTGGGAAGGTTTGTTATATATTACCACAGTAATGATTTACACAGATCTTTACAAGGACATGAAAACTCCTGCAGGTCTTAGAAAATGTGTAAAGGAATATTATGTTATCTATATTCAAAGATCTGCCTGACAGATAAAAGATATAAGATGAATTTTCATTGTGAGCAATTTGACTGTAGACCTTTTTCACACCTCATTTTTGAAACACTGAAAGCATGTTCATACACAAGTATGTTATCCATTGTAAGATGGTGACGTGGTATGAAGGGATAACCTATGTGACATCACTGAACACCTGATCAACAGCGTGAAAATGGGCTTAAAACTGGCCTTTCTCAGAAATTTGTGATGGTAAACTTCATCTGAAGGTATCATTAATAATTTTAATGATGTAAAATTGATAAAGTTTGAGCTAATGAAAACGGAGAAGAAGGCGATTTAATGCAGTGACACGTTACCTTTTTTATGTTTGCGTTATCAACCTCGTTCTGGCTTCAACATGGCTGATGTGTGATGCCATGACTAAAGTTAGGGATAAGCTAACTACATGTATAAAGAAAGAACCCAATATTATTCTTGTAACCAACCATAACTGTACTTCTACCAATTGTAAAAATTCCAATTTTAAAATTACAAATTTCATGTTTTACAGTATTTGGTTGTTGATTTAAAGGTGCATTTTGTCTGTTACAGATTCATCAAGTTATCAGTGGTGGAGTACAAGAACAAGCCCAGACGTTCTTACAACAATATCTTCAAACAGCAGGGGTTACCTTAGTATGATGGTAACAACAGTCTAAAGACAAAGATTTCAGCTGTCATATGCTCCACATCAAAAAACTTATTCCCAAAACAATTGACCCTTGTGAATGTATTTTGACAAAGCTTCTATGGAATAGCATTACTAGAGTCATATAATTATGTTTGAATTTGATATCAAACATGTTTGTAACTTGATTTTTTGCTGTGAAAATACTTCACAAGACATGGTTGTCAATTTGAATACAATATGAACCAAATACCTACACAATACGTAGGATCAGAGTTTAATTACATGTTTAAGCTGTGTTCATTTTTTGTAAAGAAAGATAATGAAAAAGTAACTGCCATGATTTTTCTGTTTTGTGTATATTTAACATCATGAAGTGCTTTTGTTGTAAATTGTTTAAAGAATTTCTTCTGCCAACCATTAATTTTGTTTATTTGAATCAGAATCAGATTCTAAAATTATTTAGCAATTAAAACGAATCTGATTCGGGGGAGGGGGAGGGGCATTTACCCCCCCATTTTATTTTCAACCAATTTAAGAATATTAATTTTTTTTATTGAACCAAATTATGCGTCAATTTTCGAAAATTTCCTTGGGAAAACCCTCTCAAGCACTTCAATGATAGGCTTACGACTACGACTTTGAATTCAGGCTCGATAGATTCCTGCTGTACATAACATCAAGACGTCCAGTTTCATAATACCAGCAAAATACTTCTAAAATCAGCTACGGGCGTTTCACGCTTTCAGAATTGTCCAAGAATCGGCGTTGATCAGTCGGTTCCATTACCATCAGCTGGATCGTTTGTCTGGGACCTGAGTGGGTATTTTTATACAAGTTTATAAAACCTATTTCAAAGATACCTATAACAATTAATATTCTAGCGAAAGAAAAGGCAAATTAACAGATTTACACTTCATTAGCCCTATCAAACGTCTAATCTTAACATTATATTGTATCATAGCGTGTTGGAATTTCTTGTAACACGTCGGTTCGTGATATCGCATAATAGAATAGTCATTCTTTCTAAATCCTCGACCCTGGGGCAACAATCAAGTGGAGCCATCGCCTCGTTGATTTTTTAGGCACTCTTATTGACCATGAGCCGATTAAATGTTTATCAAGGGTCAATTTGGGGTCCGATAGTTTATGACTTATTCAGTCAATTTGTTTGATCCACAGTTTGATTACTTAAATGACATCACAGATCCTTAAGCTGCCCGTGTCTTTGTGATTCATCACATTACTTTGAGTGACACCGGCCATCTTAATGAGACGTACAGTCGCCTCTTTACCTTAAACATCGTAAATCTGCCTAATGAAATTTGTTTTTTCTCTTTATGACCAATAGAACAGGAGTGTATAAGTAGTTTTTGTCGTTTTCGAGAGCATCTGCCCGAGTAACCTCCAGTTTTGCAATACCAAAATATAACTTAATGTCTGTAGGCTCTTTTGTTTTTAATCTTTTTTTTTCTAAAATAAATTTTGTTTATCTCCCACCCAAGGGAGTTCCGTTTTTCTTCCTCTCACCTGTAAAGAACAACTATCAAAGATCCGGATGAAATGTGTTGACAATGCCTTGTCAAAACATGTATTCACCAAAGTTTGGATGACATTTTGAACAACTTCCAGTCACCAGATCAAGGTTTCTCTTCTTTAATTCTTGGAGGTACATAGTGAATCCTATTTCGAATTCCTGGAGATCTTTTGTCCGCTTCCATTTGAAAACGAGATTGTCTTTCTGTATGTTTTTTTGGAATGTAATATCTGCTTTTATATGCCATCGTTCTTTGAAGTTGCTTCAAAAGAACAACTTAATGCTGTGGTATCAGTGCAGACCCCAGGTAAAAAATGAAAAGATCAGTATATAACTCTACTATAAAATCTTAACTGTTTCTATTGGCCCAACCAGCTTACCGTAGTCTAAATTTATACCGTTTCTCTACCCATGGCTGAACCTGTATGCACGCCGTTGATGGCTTTATCCCGGGAAATACGGTGAAAAGATAGTTGGACTTTTGAGTGTTTCGATATGTTTCCGTGGGATTGATTCAATTTGGATATAATTGAGAATGTGGAATTATTCTTTCCTGGGATTTTTACTATTATTTGCCCATGTGGACTTCGGAAGTTGTCAAGACCTTTCACCAGGTATGTGCATTTTAATTCATGCTTTATGTTTTCTTATGTCAATGACATTTCAATGGGCTCGTCTCTGACGCATACCTTTGGCTGTCGTCTGCAAATATTTTTGTAGTTGACAATTGACAACCTTGGTAGATTTAGAATATTACGGATTTTCAATTTTCAACTTATTTCAGAAATGTTTCACTTATCTTGATGTATTTACCTTTATATTTTCGGGCCTTATTTGTGTTAAAGTCATAAATCCCTGACGTAGCACAATTTTACTTTTGAAACTATATATTAAGACTACCTACTTCCAAACGTAAAGAAAAATTTATGGAGTTCCCGAATCCGAAACCTGAATATGCTTAGCAATAACTGTAGGACCACAACCCATTTAAGTTATATATCCATGTAGAGGATTTATTAATACCTTTGCAGACACAATACAAATATAGGACAAAGTTCTAAATTGCACTTGATCAAAACTAGGCTAAGTTTATTCAAACATATGATCAACTTTAAAAAGCCTTTGTAAATTTGACTCAAAGAAAGATATAGGACATTCATTAAAAATGTCTGTCTGTTGTATGATTTTTTTTAAAATACAAAGAGGGGTAGTTGTTATGTCATCTTGATCCAATCCAATGCATGAATCAAGTTCATATGCCTTTCACCTTTCATAACAGGATCTGGAAGTGGAACTCCATTCCTTCCCCAAGCTCGTAGCTAAGGGCCTCTACTAAGAACTCCCTCCCCTGAAACAGTGTATAACTTGAATAAATAGTTGAGTCACATAGTTGAAAAACTCCATCCCCACTTTAGACCCCGAGCTAGCTCCCCCTCACCGAATAGATTTATGCCTGTGCACTCCAGGGTGTTTTATGCCAGCCATATCCTTTCACCTGTGTAATCTCATACAAAAAGCAACTTACAAAAGTAATAAAAGTCACTTTTTTGACAAGTAATATGACATGCTAACAGTTTGAAAGTTAGGTGAAAATTGAGACAAATGATAAATTTTAAGAATCTTAAGATAAAGTGACACAAATCATCACAAAATTTTTATATTTCCTGTGTATTTCTCTTTTAAAAATAAGGAACTTCTTCAATTTTGAGGTAAAAAACTTCAAAGAAATGCAAAGATGTGAAAATAGTCATTATAGACCAAAGACAATTTTTCATAAAAGGCCGTAACTGCCACTAAAAATCCATTTATCTTTCTATTGTCTAGCTAGAAAAGTAATATCATTAATTTAACCAAATCTCCCCTCTAGCTGTGACAGTGAGAAATGTTCATATTTATAAGCTAGTCAATTGACAATGGACGGAGAAAAAGTAATTTTCTTTCTTGAAAAATACATAAAAAATGTGTGAAATAAAAGGGGGTTCAATTGTGCTGGGTTATTATAGCCCCATACTGCACTAGATATAGTATATCACAATGGGCTATAACACTCTATGTATGGTTTAACAGACCCTTCAATTTTATAGTTGATACTAATAAATATGATACATTTACACATATTACATGTTCAGTTGTCATTGAATTTTACCTTTTGGTTACATCTACCATTCCTAGACAACCAGTTTACCAATGGTCATAAATTCTGATCAAATATGATGTTAAAATTATCATTTTTTATCGATTGTTTTTATCGAAACTGTACTGTGTGAATATTTTCTTATTGTAAAAGAACAAATGGTTTTATATAGTTTACATTTGTTATATATTTGAGGATGGGTATATGATCACTTTCCCCGTTTGGAAAATTTATTTATCATTCTTCAAAATTTCAATTTTCAGAATTGAATGCTTCTTTTAGTTACTATTACCTACAGATGATTTGCATAAAACATATTCCTAGTACTTTACCTCAAAAAGATCCTGAAGCATTTTGTTCCAACATTTGTCAACAGGCAGTGGGTTGGCTGGAATTGCGAGGAAAGATAATGAAATAAAGAAATATCCATTGGTTCTTGGTGAAACCTTTTGGCATTGTTGTTTTCCAGTTATCTGTACGCATTTCATTTTCTGGCCTGGGATGATGACTTATTCAAGTTCTCTTACTATGACTTAAAACAACAAAAAATCTTGTTTGCTTCAAAGTGGTGCCTCAAATAGCTGTATTATTGACAATTAAATCAGATAAGAATATCAAGAGAAAATTCTGAAACCTGAGTGGATAAATCCAAGCATAGAGTGGTATCTGGTGTACAGAAAGACTAAACACAACCTGCCTTGTAAGCCACACCTAAAATAGTAAGCATAAGAAAAATAACTACTTTCAGTCCAGTTGCTGATTTAACTGTATTTGCCAATCATGTCTGAATTAATCTCCCAAAATGTGCATTTAAAAGGGTTGCCTGTAAGTGTAATTACATTAATGAATGACTAGTTTTAGTTTCTCTTGAAATTAATGAAAATTGCTCCAAAGAGTCGACTTCTGTGAGCACATGAAAGCAGCAACCCTATATATGATATAAAGCAGATAGCATAACCGATAATGAAATTGTGCCAGGAACCAGTAATGTTTAGGGAAATATATCTGTTAAAAACTATTTAAGTATACAATTCTAATTGAAATGAAGTTTGGTTTTGTGTTAAAGAGAAGGTTAAGAGCAGGTGTTATTATAGAAAGATAATTTTGGTTAAATTTAAGAGACCATACTTCCTTTTATTAATGTAGACCCGTTCATCTTTTCAACAAAGTTTCACTCAAAGAAAAATTATACACATTAAAACGCTTTTGGTTCATAGGTTATAAGAACTGTAAAATACTGATTTGTTGATTATGGTCAATCTTAACAACCACAATGACTATTTTAAAGCAGTGTCTTGTTGACTGACTTGATCATTTTCCTCAGCTTCTTATAGTGAATTTGTGAAAGTTGTAAGTCCCATTTGATTGATTTATCTTTCCTGAAAATTGCCTCTGCTTGTTTCTGTTATTTTTTCCAAGCAATATTTATTGTTATTATCATTGACAAGTATCTAGGAATATCAAGACATATGGTGTAGGATAGTATAAAAAAATGTGTAGCAATGATTTCAAGATGTTAAAAGGTAAAGGGATAATAGCCTATCTGGTTTGTTGATAAACCCCCTAGTTTATGTTGGTATACTCACATTATCAGGTCAAGATGTGGCTAAATTGTGGCTTTAATTTCATACGGATGAAATAACAGAGGTGTAAAATAAATAAATATTGTTGGAGGATATCCTCAGGGCGACTACCTTAAGCCATGTCTTTTCAACAGTTTTTATGATGTTATCATCTGGACAGTT